CCCCACCCCTTTACCTCCTCTCCTCCCTCTTTTATATATTCGATATTCTGCATATATTTACTGCACATTTTAGTTGCCTTTTCGATGTACGATCTGAACAAGAATGGTTTCATTACGAGGGAAGAATTCAAAGTGATTCTGAATATGATGGTCGGTACGAATATAACTGTGGAACAGGTATCCTCACATTTTATCACGAGAAGTTCAGTGTACCAGTGCTTGTATGCTTGGTTAATCGGAGCGTTTTCTTGTAAACTTGTTTTTATTTCATAGGTTTTTGTGCCATTTTGGTCAGCTCTGTTGTTTAAGCGTCTGTGAATCAGCTTAAGTAAAGTTTTAAATGGCCATTTCCTGAAGGAAACATGTTATCGCGTGGGCAAGTAAGACGAGGGATGCAAGCCAGAGACAAATAATCCGAATGAGTAGTACTGGTGCAGCTACTTCCATCTTCTGGTTTTTTTAACATCGGCAACTCCACACGTTGAGCTGGCCGAATTGGTGAGAATATGGTATCTAAAAAATTCATATGAGAGGAGGAACTAGTTTGCATCTTAAATTGAACTTTCAAAACTTACATTCCTCTAAACCATGGCATTAGCTTATTTAAAGCTGAAATATAATCATATGCTTTCAGTGGATAGCGATTTTTCTTGTTTTAGCTGGACAGTATTGCTGATCGAACCATAACTGAAGCTGACATTGATAACGATGGGAAAATATCATTTGATGAATTCTGCAGAGTAAGTTTCCTGGTCCCTCTGAATTTTTGAAACGTTTGGATCAATCACAATTTTTCCAAAGGAAATTTTCTTAGGTGAGAAAAATTTATAATTTTCAAAAAACGTGGGAATGTAGTTTATTTATGGTAGCTAATCTAAATGATTATAGCAATAAACTAATAAAATAAGGTAAAAACCCGCAAATATTGTTAAACCATAGAAACTGAATTTAAAAGTTAGCAAGCTCGGAAAAGTCAGAATAAGAAATATGTATTTAAAAAAGTATAAAAATTAATAATTAATAGAAACGGAGCAAAATTGAATAACATTTGATAGATAACTGTCAGCTAGTAAAATAAATAAGTGAAAATTTTTTGGAAGAAAATGAGGAATATTTTATTCGTTTAAAAAAAAAAAACAAAAGAGCGAGAGGGAGTGCTGCGACGATTCTGATTTATACACTTCTTTCGCA